CACTATTTGTGTAGCTATGCAGGAGAATTTTGATGAAGGTTTTCATTGATGAAGAGTGCGTAAAAAGTGGTGTTGACCAGTAAGTAAAATCCAAAATAAATTCCATATTCATATACAGTGGTGCCTCGCACAACGGGTGCCTCACACAACGATGAATTCACACAACGATGGCTTTTTCGGATAAATTTGCCGCCTCACACAACGATGTTTCCTATGGGGGATTTTCACACAACAATGTCTCTTTTCCCTCATTTAAAAGTGCCTTAAACTGTTTGAAACCTGTTTTAAATGCTTGCAATGGTTAGCCCACCTCCTGAAACCTATGCAAACTTAATTTGGTGTTGTTCTGAGTCGTCGTTAATTTTTGGTGATTTTTTGTTTTTCCCTCATTGAACTCTATTGAACTGTCCGTCCAATACATTTCAATGAGAGAGAAAACAAAAAATCACCAAAAATTAATGAAGACTCAGAACAACACCAAATTAAGTTTGCATAGGATTCAGGAGGTGGGCTAATGATTGCAAGCATTTAAAACAGGTTTCAAACAGTTTAAGGCACTTTTAAATGAGGGAAAAGAGACATCGGAATGCCTTTCAAAAGCAGGGAAATGGAGATCAAAGAGTTTCAAACGAAGACTCAGAACAACACCAAATTAAGTTTGCATAGGATTCAGGAGGTGGGCTAATGATTGCAAGCATTTAAAACAGGTTTCAAACAGTTTAAGGCACTTTTAAATGAGGGAAAAGAGACATCGAAATGCCATTCAAATGCACTGAGTCGGCTTCAATACATTTGAATGGAGGAAACATTGTTTCACTCAACAATGTTTCCTATGGGGATTTTCGCTCAAGGACGGCAATCCGTTCCAATTGGAACGGATTAACCAGTTTTCAATGCATTCCTATGCGAAATGGTGTTTCACAGAACGATGTTTCACACAACGTTGATTTTATTGGAACCAATTAACATCGTTGTGTGAGGCACCACTGTACCTTTTATTAGGTCATCTTAAAAAAACCCACAAATGTATGTGCAAGCCTTCAGTGTTGCCATCCCTTCCTAAAGTATGCAATGGTAGGGAATGAGAAATGGGAAAGGGAAGGAATTTTTTTAAAAAGGGGCCAAAAAGCTGAAATCCTAGCTTCATGTCCTCATCTTGTTGTAGTAGATGGAGGAGGAAAAGAAAATACTTAAATGTGGCTCTCTCATGTGATCTATGTGTTCTATTGAACTATAGCAGCACGTAGCTGTTGTTTAGAGGTTAGTTTCATCCCTCAGCAGTCTAATCTTCCCCTTTGACCTCCTTCTGAACAAGTATTTGGTATCTTCAGGCAGTGTTGAAAACAGAAGCAGCCATGTTAACAAATAAAGTCCAAATTCCAAATTCCATACCCATGTTATGTCCTTCCAGTAAATTGCTGTGGTACAGGCTATCACAGGTGGTGTCATTATTTGTATTTGGTTAAATTCTACTGGAGGCATAAAACTCCTCATGTTTTTTGCTCTTACCTCAGTCATTTTTTCCCTTTGTGTGAGTCCCCTATTTTATTTTATTTTACATCACATCTATAGTAGTTCCAGTTTGGCATGCTGTTGATTGCAAAACACATTAGAACAACCTTCCCTCTAAGGTGCACCCCTGTGCGCATGCACACAACTCTATAGAACAACCTTCCCTCTAAGGTGCACCCCGTGCGCATGCACACAACTCTACTCCCTCCATGCACCCACAGTGATAGTTTTCAGCCCTTTTGGTTCCGGTCACAATGGAACCCTGTGCAGGGGTGGGGGACAGAGTTGCACACAAGTGGGGGCAGAGCCACATGTGCAAGGGGCAGAAAATTAGAGGGAACATTGCTTATGAATACAGAAAAACAAACAACAACAACCCTCCATTCTGTAAATAAACATTGTTTGAAAAATTAATCCTCTGTTCTTAAAGCTAAACATCCAGCATGTTCCACCACTGCCTTTCCAAATTTCATCTCTGGCACTAGATTAGCAACCATAGTGCCTTCTGTTTTAGCATGTTTGAACTAGATTTTCAGCCAGCATGCGTAGTTGACATAGTGGATATATGCTTTAGAACTGGAAACTAATACTTGCCTTTATTTCCCCCTCCAGATGCCTCCTAGCTACAAAGTTTGTATTTATCTTGGCTCTGCTTGACTAATTTCTCTCCTTTATGTCCTATTTCCCCTTTCACACACTTCTACTGCCATCTGCCTCCCTTTTGAGGTTTATCCTCAGGGTTCCATTAATCTCAGGGAATTTCCCTCTGATCCAACTGGTTTCTCAGCTGGGAAGGAGGCAGAAGCTCTTTATAATCTGACAAGTTTCCTGCCTGTTACAGCTGCACAGCAGGCAGAAATTCCCCAGGCCAATCCTCTTCCATCACTGTTGGATAAGCTTTATCTGCCAGATTCCTGCCTCTTACCAACACAGCAATCTTACTTTGGAAGATGAGATTATTTGCTTTTCCATTTGATTTCAAAGAGCATTTAAATTTGCCTTTGGGAAAGAGCAGTACAGTGGTGTCTCACTTAATGACGATAATCCGTTCCAGGAAAATCGCCGTTAAGCGAAAACATTGTAAAACAAAATTAAAAACCCCATTGAAACGCATTGAAACCCATTCAATGCGTTCCAGTGGGGTAAAAACACACTGTCCAGCGAAGATCCTCCATATGGTGGCCATTTTTGCTGTCTGTATAGTGAGGAATCCGTCCCTAAACACAGCGGGAAGCCATTTTTAGCACCCGGGGGCTACTTTGAAAACCCGATGATCAGCTGTTTTGATCATCATAATGTGAAGAATCAGTTACCGAAGCAGGGAACCGATCTTCACCAAGCGAAAAAAAACCATTTAGACCATTGTTTTGCGATCGCAAAAAGATTGTTGTACAGCGATTTCGTCGTAATGCAGGGCAATTGTTAAGCGAGGCACCACTGTAGTGACACATAACCTTACATAATGCTTTCTGAAGGAAAGAAAAGTTTCATCCTGGATCATATTAAGGTCCAAGTGAAGCAAGGGAATTTTGTATCTTAGAAATATTTGAGCATAGAGAAGAGCTTCCAAATTCACTTGAATATAGAACCTGCAAGTCAAGCCAGTTCCTTTGCTTTTTATAACCGTAAAAGATGTAACTCATTTTAGAACTTCACATATTGTGCTTATTTACAATTTAAAACTATGTGCACACCTGTTTTTTCTTGAATTTTCAGTCTCAATTCTTTTCCTCTAGCTTGAGGACATCACGGATGCTGGAATCAGTGCAGTGCCTATGTTTGGAATTTTTAAAGGATTTTTTTTCTATTAAGACTTCATTTGGGAAAATCATGTCCTCTTGAAATGTTTTTATGTGAAAAAATTCAATCTTATTATTTTACTTAATCCAGCATCACATGAAATTAACCACTCGGTCACAATCAGCCACTTTCTCCACATTCTGCAGCTAGTTGAACTGCGCGATAGCATTCTTCTTGAATTTTGTAGAATGCCCACTAGAGGGTGGAGGCCATCCTGCGTAGTTTCTTTGGTACATCTTTGACCTTGCTGATCCCTGGCTGCTGGAACTTTCATTACTCTGATAATCTGATCTGATTTTTCACAAGAACAGAATATATATGCTTTACAGATAGGAGCTGCCATTTCTCTCTCTGGTATCTCCAGTTAAAAAGATCTTCAGTTGCAGGACAGCGGGAATTATTTGTTCTTAGAGAGATGCTGTCCATCGTAGTAGACTGTTATAGATTAACTGAAGCAACAGCAGCTTTATGTATTCATGTTTATCTGGAAAGAAGGGATACATGGATTAGGGCAGTGGATTCCAGCCTCGGTTATTGAATAACAGTGTAAATAGCATCATACAAATCATGATAAATAAAATTGGCTGTAGGAGGGTAGGTTCAGATCTGTTCATATTAGAATCCCAAGCGTAACCTGATATGGGAGGAGCAGGAAATTAGATTTTATTTTATTACCAAGTAGAATAAACGTCTTCAAAAAGCTGTGTCTTAGAAACATGGGAATATATATGGAAGCAGGAAAATAAACATATGGCTCACTGGATAGCTCAGTATGTTTGGAGCACTTTGATGCAGAGCTAGGAATCTGGAGCTGGATTTCTCCACTTTGCTTCCTGGAAGGAACTAGTTTGTGCAGCTACATGCTCCCACCAGAAAGAGGCACCAGTAAACTACTTCTGAGTACTATATGCGGGTGTGTGTATGGGAATCCTGGAAAGGGTTCCTGTAAGTCAGAACCGATGTGAGAACATGTCATTATTATGCTATTATTAAATAAATATAGAGGAGCCACTTCAGTGAAAATAGTCCATCTAAAAATATGGGTACAGTGAAACATTATGGTTCTGACTCCTGATGGAGACTGTAAACATTCTTTAATTTATTTGAATCCCACCACTGGTCCTGATGGAGACTGTAAACATTCATCAAGAAAAAACTTTGATATTTGAGAGGAAGGCAATAGAAAGATAGAAGGTCTTTATTGTTGCTGGTCATATTGGAAGTAGCAAACTGTTAGAAATGTGGATTAGCAGTACTTATTTAATGTGGAGTCCAATATTTTTGCTGATGTTCATAAGATTTTATTGCCTTTTGTTTTTTTGTAATTATCACCAAACCTGCTTGTTGTTACTGTTTCATCTTTTCTCCCTTTTCTTCCTAAATTTTCAAATGAAATGGAAAATTTCATGGTAATAAATTAATTCAATCTTTTTTCCTCTGATAGTTTTTACATTTATAAAAGTAATACAAATATGGGGGGAAACAATTTAACTTAAAATTCTTGGTTTTTGGCACATTTTTGATTCATAGAATCCCATATTTATTAATGATTTCAAGTTTGCCTGTTAAGGACTTTTGAGCAGAGGACCTGGGGATATGATTATAGGGCAAACAATTTGTTCATTACAAAAAAGATGGGGTAGGGGTAAAGGTCGAGCTAATGTGGGAATTTGTTTTTATCTTTACAGGTTACAGCGAAGACTGCCTTCTTGTTTATCTTACCTCAGTATAATGTTAGTGTGCCTACAGCAGGTAAGAAAATGTATGCATATCTTCATGTTTTGTTTTGATATAGAAGAGTCCCCCTTTCAGCCCGAAGTGAGAACTAGGCCTGTGAAGATAGGCTAGGCTGAATGAATGAGCATTAATATGTTTTCTTGACAGAACCAACTATTTGTTGGTTGCCATCCATTCCCTGGTTCATGTCCTCTGGTGCAAATTAACCTGTAGTGCATCACCACACTATTTAAGAGGTTCACACTGCCTTGCTCCCAGCTTCTTTGGTCCACACACTAAACCACAACAATTCAAGGAGAAAAATAGCATGTAAGAGTTGGGACAGGATGGCGATGCCTTTTGTAGGAGTGGCATCCCACTTCCCTGGAAAACAACTGATACCCAGGCCACAAAACCTGTGCACAAAAAGGAGGAGGAGAAGAGAAGGAACACCTCAGAGGTGGCGAGCAACGGCCAGAAAGAAAAGAATACAGAAAACATAACAGGAAAAAAAGGGGGAAGGAGGAAAGAAAGGAGGGGGATATAAAAGGGAAGAAGGATACCAAGGGAGCAGAAGAAGGTAGCAGTTCCTCAGACACAGAGATGAATTAATAAGGACACTCCCTATCCAAAGGCTGGAAATCAGTTTGGAAAATAAATCCCTACATGCAGATTTGGGAGAGGCTCATCTTCCATGTGGGAGACACTACTTTACAAAGAAACCACAGGCCCACTAAAAAAAGCCTATTGCTGTGGGGAGAGGGAGAGGAGAGAGAGAGAGAGAATTCTTGGGAGAACATGGAACAGAGAGGGGGTTCCCCATGGAGGCAGTGCATCCCAAACTGTCAAACTCAGTGATCCAAGGTGGGAACCCATGGACATTGGACCGGAGTGGACTGGAGAATAGAGAGAGGGGTGGAGACAGAACCCCTCTCATTGTTGCAGATGCCCTTGCCAGAGGGGCCATTTTTAAAGGACCAGACTACGGGTGTGGTGAGGTGGCAGAATATGGACAGAGACTGTTATGTCAGAAAGACTTAGTTCATGCTTGTTGAACCCCTTTCTCTCTCATTTGGGGGAGAAGGGGAAGTTACCATCCCAGAATGATTGTGATGTCTGGGATGAAGAAGACACAGTAAAATGTTAATCTGTTTAAACAAGAAAATGAATCTTATATCTCTGTGAAAGGTGTTCTAAGAGGGGTGGTGGTGTGAAAGTAGAAATGTCACATAAGAGCTTGACAGCTTGGAGAGGGGTGGTGGTGTGAAAGTAGAAATGTCAGAGCTTGACAGCTTGGAATTTTCTATGCTTTGATTAAACATAAAATGCTCTCAGTCTGACTTACTGAATACCATGAGCTTCATTTTTAAATGAATTGTGTACTGACATAAAATGTTAGGTTAATAACTCTGGATATAGCAGTTGTTATCAGTAGAGAGGTACAGCCTTGTTGTTGTTGTTTTTTAGTCATTAAGCCGTGTCCGACTCTTCTTGACTCCATGGACCAGAGCATGCCAGGCCCTCCTGTCTTACACTGCCTCCCGGAGTTTGGTCAAATTCATGTTGGTAGCTTCAGTGACACTGTCCAACCATCTCATCCTCTGTCGTCCCCTTCTCCTCTTGCCCTCACACTTTCCCAACATCAGGGTCTTTTCCAGGGAGTCTTCTCATCAGAGGGCCAAAGTATTGGAGCCTCAGCTTCAGGATCTGTCCTTCCAGTGAGCACTCGGGGTTGATTTCTTTCAGAATGGATAGATTTGATCTCCTTGCAGTCCAGGGGACGCTCAAGAGTCTCCTTCAGCAGTATTGTTGAGATAGAGCAGTATAAATTACATTGGCCGAATTACCTTCAGTCATAGCTTGTCTGAGATGAGATTGATGCTAGTGGAAGGTCCCCTTGAGATACAGGGGAGGGGGGAGTTGCTGGTCTGTGGAAAGGGAAGTTATGCTCCTCCAGTGTTTATGCTCACACTTCCCTGGTGCTGTGACTGACATAACAAAAAACCACATGTTAACTCCATTCACACAATGGCTGAAATTCTGTTGGCATAACATATGCTGTATAAGGCTGATGCCATCAGCAATCACAGTTTAGCAGAAATTAAGCATTTCCAATTTCTCTTTCAATGCACCTGGGGCTCCCATTTTATTGCTGTGAAGACATGAAAGCTGTGGATGGAAGTCTTTAATTACTGAAAATCCCCAACCCTGACTCCCCCTCGGTGAAATCCATTAGAATTTGAGCCATACTTTCAGTATATTGTTAACATAAATGCTTGTTCAAAACCAAATTTTGCATGTTTTTTCTTGACCAATAATTTAACAGAATATGCGCTAAGCAAGTAAAAAAAGCTGCATGCTTCGAGGCCACTCTCATTTTTACTTCTAATGCAAAATATTCACAGCTCATGTTTCTTGTGAATGGGGCACACACCTTTAAATCACAACAAGATTTGTGAAATGCACATGTGGTAAATAGGAAAGAAGTATGTCACTGCTTCTTTTTGTTTTGACAAGAAAAACTGTGATATACTAGGATGTGCTACATTCATGACTGTCATGGGTTGTGTATGTTTTGTAGATATGTGCATGCATACCCCAAGATCAGAAAGTCAAGTAAGAAGCAGCCCTGAGCTGGATCCTGCTGCTCATTGTCTTGGGTCATTCACAAGTCACTGTGTTTCGCGCTATGGGACTGTGATCTCAACCCTACCACACAGTCACTTGTACCCAGAGATGAAAAATAGGTGAGTTCAGGTCTCTTGATCTTGACAGTGGCTGTTGGCCTTCCAGACTGCTTCAGTCTCTCTGACTGACAGCAGCAGCCTAGGAATGTGTTTATAAATCAAGTTATGAAGTAAGTGCAGATTCTTATCAGAAAATAACAGGTTATGTAAACAGGCCCTCAGGCAGTTAGTTATCTCTACTGCTGTTGGGGTGGGAACAAGATGTAAAACTTCATGTTGTTCAACGAGGCTGTACTTGCTCTGTGTTGTAGCTAAATTCAGTTGTTAAAGTTTGTTGTGGTCTCTTTCCCACCTCTTGCTGGCATTGTTAATACATTACTATTTTTCTTTTTGCAAATGACTTGAAAATCACAGCTTCTCAACAGCGTTTCAGTTTACATTTTGATCTTAGTATTTTTTTTTCTTGATCCTGTTTCCTTTTCTTTAGATGGTGAAATTGTTCTTTATCACTACGGGCTGAAGGATTTGGTCACAATCCTCTTCTACATATTTATAGCAATAATTCTACATGCTGTGGTCCAGGAATATGCCTTGGATGTAAGTTTTGCGGTTTCCTACATTCTACTAAATGTCGAAATGTGCCTCTTATCTTGTAGAAAATTTAGGATTGATAGGTCTCTATCACAGTTGCCTTTGTGAAGCCAGGAAGATGCTGGTAAGTCCATTCTGGGACTGAAGCAGTTGACCTCAGGGTTTGTTTCATATTACACTTTTATCAGAATACTCGCAAGGAGGATCAGAATTTGTTCCATCCTAGCCAGCACCCTCACTCCTTTTCTGACCTGTGGCCATTATATACTATCATAATATCCGACTTATGGAGACCCTCACAGAATTCTGGAGGTGTGTGAGATTTTAAAGGAGTGGTTTATCATTGCAGCCTGCCAGTCAGTTTCCATGGCTGAGCAAGGATTTGAACTCAAGTCTCTTGAATACTACTCCAGCATTCTATGCTGTTTGGCAGATTGGCTCCACTATAGGCTGCCTTAATTCCTGTCCTTTTCCTTTCCTCCCTCCCCTCCTTTCCCCCCTTGTACCTATGGCAAAATATATTTGCTCCCATTGTCTTCTGCATGTTCCTAAAGGTGGATGCAAATGTGGGGGTTCTTCCATTCGTAAAATAGCTCTCATTTTTTTTTCATCTATGAGTATTTGTAATGTCTTCAGAAATCTATGCTGCAGCTCTTTCCTTCCTGTCACTTGGTTCAATGGCCAAGATAACCTACTTGGACAGAAGAGAAGAAAGATCACTGTGAACTGCCACGGCTGGTGGGCTCTGCGTGCAGCTGCAGTCCAAGGCCTGTGCTAGAGAATCAGCTACAGCTGAGAGGCAGTTCTAGTTTCCAGTGTGATCCATTTCCAAATCAAAACCACAGTACTTCTGGCAGTAGATGCACCCAGAAAGGACAAACAATTCAGCAATGGAGAAATAGGAGCACTTTGTTTCATGCTGTCCAAAACTGTAGATAAGGGGAAACAAAACGTAGCTCAAAAATGGTCTTGTTCCATTTTGCATGGGACGAAAGAGATCAGTGTCAGCCACAAGGAATCATTGCTGCACAGAATCAAGCTGAAACACAGAAACCTTGTTTAATATCTCCAAAGATCTCTAGATCTTTGCCGTGTTGTCAGGATGACTGATTAACACAAGCCTAGAGTGTCTTTATAAGAGAGGAGGTGGACTGTTTGCTTTCATTCTGCTTTTCTTGATTTCATTTTTGCTTTTAGAAAATCAATCGGAGGCTCCATCTCTCCAAGATTAAGCATAGCAAGTTCAATGAATCTGGACAGTTGGTAGCATTTCATCTTGCCTCCATGGTCTGGTGTCTATACGTAGTAATAACGGTAAGCTGTCTTAAATTTCCTTTAGAATGCTGGGGTATAAACCTTGGTAGCAATAATAAAACAAAGGTAACAAATATGGAACATCTACAGACTCTGTGTAACTGATGGCTTAATGGAGAAAAGAGGAAGATTGATACTTAGAGGTTCTTTCTTATGTCTCAGCTATGTTTAAAATCCTGGTTATGTAAACCTAAGCCTCTGGACTCCCCCTTTTGGTACATTTGGGTGGCATTTTTACTTCTGGGATGATTAGTACAAAGTGTTTACTAGTTTCAAAAAAAGACCTGTCTTTCTTCTTTTACTTCCAGTCAGTAAAATAGTTCTACTTCAAGCAAAGACTTTTTCCTCTCTTCCCTCAGATCTGCTCTGACCGCTGGCTTCTGCTTTTCTCACAAGTGCTCTCTAAACTCTTAGAGCCTTGAGCCTTAAGCTAGCCCACTGGGTCTTCAAATCATGAGGTAAAAATACAAGAATTTTCTTTCAGAGTCATTTCCTATCTTAGACCCCTCCCCCCAGATCTGGGTTCAGAAGCCCCCACCACTAAGCTTTTCCCAAAAACTCTAGTGAGGAACCAAACTTCTTTGCCACAGACCTCTGTCTAAAAAGTACCCTTGACTCAAGCAAATTTCTTTTTAAACTCACGCTTGACTGAATTTATTCGTATCCATACCCAAGCTTCACTGGATTCCTTCGTATCCCACCACTGCCACCAATTGTGGCGTTCACCCCTCATGCCCCCTTGTTGACTGTCAAGACTCAGAGCACTGGAAGGCAAACAATCCCCTCTTTTACACTGCTGCCACCAGGTGATCACTAAATCACCATTACTTCAGGAAGATGAAGATTCAGTTCCACACTTCAAAGTCTTTTAAACATAACTTTTGTTTATTGATTACAGAAATTGATAGTGATTCATGAATATCTTCAATAGGTAAATTTATTATTAACAACAATCTTCTATTTGATAATACACTCCTAACTAATCACCTGGCAGATTTCTCCCAAACTCCACACTCTATCTTCTCCACTCTCTCACTCTGCTCAAACTCTCTCTCTGACTGACTCTCCCTCTTGGCTCCGCCTCTCAGCAACATGAATATGCATGAACAATTAACATAACAAACATGAACCATTGACATAATAAAGGGGAACGCTACAGACTTTCTCACCTTGAACACTTAATTCAAAAGGTACGGATAGTTGCTCTTTTAGAAACACATGTAAAAATAAAAGGTGGTATCTGGTGCCTGAATGGTTTCTCTTAATTCTAGGCATTAATGCCTGAAAGCCTATTCGTGTTTGTATAGGATTTGAATAACTTTCTGTGACTAATAGTGGCTAATTGCTGAGATGCCAAGATAGTTGGCTGTCAGTTATATGACCAAACAAATGACTGAGACAATGCCTCAACACCTTGCCAATTATCTGTAATTAACCACAATTAGCACAGTATCTTATGTGACCACCACTAGGATTTTGCCCAGTTTTTTAGAACAAGTGTTGCTTTTTCAGTCTCAAATGTGATAGTTAGACCAGTGGTTCCCAAGAGTTTTTTCTCTTGTGTACCCATTGGCAGCCCATCTCCATAAACTGTGCCCTTCATATGAGTCCTCGTCCACTCTATCCACCAACTACACCACACTGGGTGCCCTTAGATTTGGGATGGAGAGTAACTAAAAGAAGTTGGAAGTACTAGAAACAAAATAAACAAAAGGAATGACATTCTCAGAGTGTGTATGTTTATTAATTAATGTATAGCTGAGTGCAATTTGGAAAAATCATTTGTCAAAGGCAAATTGAGATAAAACACCACTCAAATAGATAACTGTAGGTGATAGCTCTTTTTGAAGCGTAGATTTTATAGAAGTTGGGAGAGTACAGAAAAATAAACCAGGAAATCCCATTTCCAGATAATAGGTTCATCATTCTAATCTTTTCATGTCTCTATATTTTCTTCCACCTCCCCAATCCAAGCAAAACAGCAATTCGCAAACACTTCCTTCCTTCCTTCCTTCCTTCCTTCCTTCCTTCCTTCCTTCCTTCCTTCCTTCCTTCCATCCATGGCTCATGAAAGGAATTTGAAGATGAGGATTTTCATCCACTGAAATTCCGGCAGTATATCTTGGCCATTTTCCACTATCAGTCAATTTTTTCATGTACCCCTAAATGTCCTAGTTCATATCCCATGTTGATAATTACTGATTTAGACTATTACCAATTATAGATAATTCCCAGATAGTTGTGAATGTCTGAAGTCTTTAGGAGATTCCTGAGTGGGAATTTAGACCTAGTAATGAAGTATATACCTTGTTTCCCCAAAAATAACACCTAACCTGAAAATAAGCTCTAGTATGATTTTTCAGGTTGCTCGTAATATAAGCCCTACCCCAAAAATTAGCCCCAGTTAAGTGAAACCTTACCCTCCACCCTTGTGCAGCAACCAGAAGAAGATGACATGACTGTATTTGAATGTAGATTGTTGTACATGAAAACAATAAAACATCACCTGAAAATAAGCCCTAATTTTTTTGTTTGTGTGTTTTTTTGGAACAAAAATTAAGACCCTGTCTTATTTTCGGGGAAACACCGTAACATATAATTCCAAAGCAGTGTTTTACTTGTGGCATAGTGGCAGCTGTGTTCAAAGCTAAGAAGCTAAAAATTTTCAAATAACATGTTCAAATCTGGAAAGCTAAACATATTTTTAAAAAGCTGAGAATGAGCTGAAGTTAGCAAGAGGTGCTAAAAGCAGCAACAAAGCATTATTCAGGTATGTGCTTAGGAAAAGACAGAAAATAAATAGCTCAGCTACTTAGTGGCAAGGAAAAACAGTAGCAGACAAAAAGAAAAGACAGAAGTGCTCAATTCTTACTGTAGCTGTACTGTACTGTATTTCGCCCAAAAGACATTCTATGACCTTCTTTGCAGATGTGAAGTACAAGTGCTGGGAACAGGATTGCATCTTGAGATTGAGAAGCATAGTCAGGAAATACCTTATTACTTTGAATGAGTACAGATCTCCACAACCTGCTGAACTGCATCCAAGGGTACTGAAGGAACTGGCTGAAGAACTCTCAGAACCATTGTCTGTTATTTTCTGGAAATCATGTAGGATGAGTGAAATGGCAGATGATTGGAGGAGGCTTAATGTTGACCCTATTTCCCAAAAGGAGGAACCTAAAAACTACAGATCAGTCAGCCTGACATCAATCCCATGGAAAATTCTAGAGTAGGTAATAAAATGGTCCTTCTCCAAGTACTTTGAAAACAATGCAGTGAATCTGGAAACCTATATGGATTAGTCAAGAACTGGCCTAGATGCCTTTAAAAGGGGATTGGACAGCCATGATGGGGATGTATAATCTCCAGGCTTAAATGGGAGGTACCTCAAAAAGCCAGATGCAGGTGAAGACCTCCAGGCTTAAATGGGAGGTACCTCAAAATGCGAGATGCAGGTGAAGGGTATTAGGAGACAGGTATGTAGTTGTCTCGTGTGCTCCCAGAGGCATCTGATGGGGCCACTGTGAGATACAGGGAGCTGGACTAGATGGGCCCTTGGCCTAATCCAGCAGGGCTCTTCTTATGTTCTTAAGAACAAATCCTGCCAAACCACTCTTATCTTGTTTTTTGACCAGGTAACTTGCTTGATAGAAGGTAGGAATACTGTAAACGTAATATATCTTCATCAAAACTTTGGACAAAGTGCCCCATTGTATTCTGATTAACAAGCTAACTACAGTAGATTAACTAGGTGTGGGCTGGATAGGACAACTGTCTGGTGGATACATGGTTGATTACAGTATCATCCACAGAGAGTGCTTATCAATGGCTCCTTCTCAAACTGGAAGTAACAACTGAGGTACCGCAAGGTTCAATCCTGGATCCAATGTCCTTCAAAATTTTTATTAATGACTTGGATGAGGGAGTGCAGGGAATGGTTATATTTGTTAGATTAGATTAGGCATCCTTCAGTCTCGAGAGATTATGGTAATATGCTTTGAATAGAGGACCTGGAACAGTGTCTAGTGCGGCTGAGGAAACCAATTCAAGAATGACAATCCCTTCCACACTGAAGAAAAATACAATCTGTTCCCTGTCCAGCTCCCTGCTTTTGTTGCTTTCGTGACTGCCCTTTTGCCTCAGCCTGCTGGACAAGGGTCTCTTCAAATTGGGAGAGGCCATGATGCAACACCTGCCTCCAGACTGAACGCTCAGATGTCAGGGTTTCCCATCTGTTGAGGTCCATTCCTAAGGCTTTCAGATCCCGCTTGCAGATTATGAAGGGGACAGTAAAACAGAAAATTCCCAAAATCTTCTTGGTTTGATGTTGAAACTGAAGGATCTGTAGTTAATGTTCCAAGATGGAGATTTGCCGACTTGAAGAATTACATGCTCCTTGGGTGATAAAGGACGGTGGGAATTGTTGTCAACACAAATAACTTTCCCAGACTTGGTTCTACATGTTAGGCATAACTGTTTTCACTAAGGAAGGAAGCTTGCATATACAGTAGTGCCTCGCTTAATGATGTTAATTCGTTCCATCAAAATCGCTGTAGAGCGAAACGTCGTAAAGCGAAATTAAAAAGCCCATAGAAACACATTTAAACCCGTTTAATGTGTTCCGATGGGCTGGAAACTCACAGTCCAGCGAAGATCCTCCATAGGGCGGTCATTTTCGCTGCCTGTGCAGCGAGGAATCCATCCCAGAAAACAGGGGGGACCATTTTGTTTACCCGGTGGCCATTTTGAAACCGGCGATCAGATGGAGGAAAATAATTGTTTTGTGAAGAATCGGTTCCCAAAACAGGGAACCGATCATCGCAAAGCAAAATTCCCCTGTAGTAAACATCGTAAAGCGATCACAAAAAGTTAATCGTAATGCGATATCGTCGTTAAATGGAGCAATTGTAAAGCGAGTCACCACTGTATCCATACGGATACTTCAAATGCTTACATTTGAGTCATGACTTAAATTACTCTTAATTTCAGCGATATTGCTA